GATATGGAAAATCCAACTCTCACGCATGTTAAAAATAGAGGGAAGAAGTATCACCTTTTTTCCATTAGAAACTTAGACTACTGGATGTCTGGGAAAGCATAAAGATGGTGGACTGTTCAGCTGAAATATACTTTCGCTTGGTCTGTGTTTTTTCCAGTTGAAAGTAGGACATGGGAGCCCAATATTCATTTACAAACAGCGAAGGATGAATATTCAGGAACAGCAGATGTAGGGCAAAAGGAGAGAGAAACACAAGGATTAATCTGGTTAAAGGCAACATATAGAGAAAGCTGTGTACAATATATACAGAAACCTGTGCGCAGTGCATGCTAGAAACTGTGCATACAACACATCTGAAAACCAGGCACAACGTGTGCTGAAAGCCGTGCAACAGCGCGTGCTGATAGCCATGCACAGCCCGTGCCGATAGTCATGCACAGCGCATGTCGATAGTCGTGAACAGTGCATATCGATAGTCGTGAACAGCGCATCCTGAAAACCGTGCACAGCACACACCAATAGTCGTGAACAGCGCTTGCTGATTGTAATGAACAGCACATGCTGATAGTCGTGCAAAGCACATGCCGAGATCCATGCACAGCGCATCCTGAAAACCGTGCACAGTGCACGCCCATAGTCATCAACAGCGCTCGCTGATAGTAATGAACAGCACATGCTGATAGTCGTGCACAGCGCATCCTGAAAACCGCACACAGTGCACGCTGATAGTTGTGCACAGCGCACGCCGAAAGCCATGCACAGCGCACGCCAAAAGCCATGCACAGTGCATGTTGAAAGCTGTGCACAGCTCACTTTGAAAGCTGTGTATACACAGCACATGCTGAAAGCCATGTACAGCGCATTCCAATAGTCATGCACAGTGTATATTAAAAATGTGTACAAACAGCACATGCTGAAAGTTGTGCACAGTGCATATTGAAAGCCATGCACAGTGCATGTTCAAAGATGTGAACAACATACAAAGAAACCTTTAACACGTGCAGAAATCCATTCACAATTGCTTGACAAACTTAACTGTTACCAAGATGAATACATGAAACGTATATATGTGTTTTAGAGATAACTTTAGGTAAAATGCACATTCAAAGAAACAGATCTTTAAAAACAAAGCATTTCACTTCCTGTGAGAAAGAGATCATGTAATGAAATGCGCCCCGATTCACTCAAAACCATTGGGTAAAACAGAAACTCAAAAATTTGAACACTGCAGACATCAGGGTTAAAAGAAAAAATGTGCCTGTGCACAATAAAATGCATAGGATGAAATCATCATTGAAACTTGGCATTGCCTGGCTGAAAGGAGTCTGAATACTGTGAAACATGCCTGTACATGGCTGGAAAGTACCCAAATGCAGCTGGGATCTGTGTATGCATGACTAAAACTCACCTGTGTATGGCTGAAACATGGCTGCTACATTGGGCAAAATGTAGACTGTGAAATGTGCCTGCATATGACAAAAACATTCTGAATATATAAAATCTGTTTATGCATGGATGAAACGTACCCAGTGCATGGCCAAAATGTGCCTCTGCAAAATCTTTCCATGCCTGCATGCTGCAAAATCAGGATATTATCCAGGACAGGCTGTTAAATAGCAAGTAACATTTGTATCCCGTAAGTGCCGAGTAATAATCATCCATTCTGCTTTGACAGGTTCTGAGATGGATGATAAGTATGATGTACACACTTCGTTACAAGCATGGCATGTGGTTCTCAAAAGGTGTGTACTGCATTGATAGGAGGGTTATGTGCTCCCTGTAGTGCCCTGATTTCCTCTCTGCATGTTCCTATCAAAGTCTCTCAATGCTACTGGTGCCATCCCAAACCAGCCTTCTTAACTTTGGTGGATCACATCACCATCTCCCGTGAGCCAATGGGGAGATGACTGTTTAGGGATGTTTTGAAAATATCCCCAAGTTGTGTCCGTAACCTTCCTGCGAGCCTCTTGCCACAACCTAGTTCCAAGTAGAGTGGTTGCTTTTGGATCCTGATGTCAGGCAAATGAACATGTGAAGATCTGGTTTTGAGCGAAGCTGGGCAAATTAGCTGTAATAACAAGGTGTAGAGCTGGATGAACACAGCAGGCCAAGCAGCATCAGAGGTGCAGGAAGGCTGACGTTTCGGGCCTAGACCCTTCTTCGGCTTCGCAGTGGGGTTAAAATTGTTTCAGAGATAGTAGGAACTGCAGATGCTGGAGAATCTGAGATAACAAGGTGTAGAGCTGGATGAACACAGCAGGCCAAGCAGCATCAGAGGAGCAGGAAGGTTCATCTCAGATTCTCCAGCATCTGCAGTTCCTACTATCTCTGAAACAAATTAGCTGTAAGTTGGCTTCATACCATCCTCCAAATCCGATGGCAAGGCAATCCAATAGCAGCGTCATCTCCAACCAGAGAGAATCTAACAGTATCCTTTTGACATTGAATGGTCTTAACTTTGTTAAATTCCCAACCATCAACATGCTGGGGGTTTATTATTGATCAAAAATTTTACTGGTCCAGCTACATCAACACAGTGGATACAAAAGCAGGACAGAAGCTGGGTATTTTGTAGTGAGTAACTTCTGTCTAGGCCCATGGCTTTTTCATCATCTGCAAAGGCACAGGTCAAGTATGTGATGGAACATTTCCCACTTGCCTAAATGAGTCAAAATGCAGCAATTCCCCTGTCTAACAACACTGTTACCTCTACCACATCAGTGTAATGGTCCAAGGCTTCATTGTCAGCTTCATCGTTCACTGTCAGCTTCTCAAGTACAATTCGGATAGAAAACAAGTGCTGGCCATGTCAATGAAGATCAGATTCCCATGAATGGATAAAGATACAAGAAAGGGTGGTAGGGGGTAGTGGCATGGCAAAGAGAGGTTGATGGGAAACTCCTGAGTTGATGCTGTGGGATGGGAAGGGAATATAATGCTGAAGACGCTCTGATGAGCAATAAGTAAGACCAGTAACTATGAGGGTGCTCCCATGGAACTGAATAACGAAGGAGAGGGACCGAAGAACTTGGCTGATCATGCCCAACACTGTGGAGTCATCCAATAAAGAACATATCAGTGCCATCATGGACAGGAAGCACATTGTATATGATTGAGTGATCATTCTTGACAGAAAGCAAGACTTTGTAGATCTGGTAGCAGAGTTTTTGGGAATCCTTGGGTAATGGGTTGAGTAACTGGCACGAAAAGGTTTTTGAAGAGATGAGCAATCATGTTGAATGAGATGGCTATAGAGAGGCAGATATGACATTTGGGCTTTCTGGCTCATTAAGGGAATGTTAGCTTTCACAATGAACAGATTCCAAGATAGACTGGAGGAAGGAAAATAAAAATAGGTAGTTCACTGGCAAAGTGAGATACAAAAGGGAACCTTTTCCCAAATAACAGAGATTTAAATAAGACAAGTTCTTAAGCTGAAGGGAGCAATAATAGGGTACAAAAGAATCCCCAGTAAAAATGGGAGATCAGGAGTTGTGAAAATGATTCGTAAGTTGTTGCTTCAAGCTGCTGAATGATCTGCCATAAGATGTGAGGTCCAGTTTGGAGAGAGTAAAGTAGCAAAGACATTTCGAAACTAGTCGTATTCAGACAGCAAATAAGAGGAGCAACAAGATAACCAATAAACAGTGACAACTGATCTAGTGCAGGTAAGTCTAGGTTCATCAAAGCTACAAGTGGCAATATCTGTTTAAAATGGAGATAAGCAGAGGTGCAGGCATGAAAATCAGGAGCCTGGAATACCAAAGACTAAGGAGCTGAATAATTCAGGAAGCCTGGAGAGGCAACTAAGTTGTTGGGCAACATGAAATACCAGTCCAGAATGGTGAGGAAGATCAGAAAGCGAAATGCAGAGTAGGACAAAGTTAATGGTCACAAGAGTTGAACAGAGAGTGGCATAGCAAAATCATGAACAACATCAGCAGTCCAGCAGATGTAAAACCTGCAGCTACAGCACTGGATAAAAGGCAGTAGTATAATGGAAACAATATGTGAGGCAAGAAGTCTATCCTGTAAATTAAGATTGAAGGAAATGTTATTTCTAATAAATATATTAGAAAATATATGCAGCAAATATATTGGGTTTCTTTAATTGCTGAAGTTAGGGATCAAAATACACAAAATTAAAAGGGAGAGTTTAACTATAGGTGTTTAAATTCCACTCTGCATTTGAACCTACTTTTAAAGACTATTTTAAGAAATCGAGATGATCCCACACCCCAAAAACAGGAGGGGTTCAAGAAGGCAGTTTAGCACCACCTTCTCCATGGAAACAAATGCTGGCCCAGCCAGCGATGCCCACATCCCACAAATGAATAAAAAATTTTTAAAAAAGAATCAGGTCCTCAATATAGCTATGTAACTTCAAGGGCTTAACCTCAGTTTGGAACACTACCTTTTGCTTCACACAAATGACAACCAGTGTATTGCTGGCACACAATTCATTTGGGACAGAAACAGAAACAGCAGATGTTACTTACTGGCCCTTTGCCTTTTTAGGCACCAGAATTCTAATGGCAAGTGAAGCTACTGTCCACTCCATACTTCCCTCAGAGGAAGCACTCAGGATCTGAGTTTTACTGCTTAGATCTGGTATCACCGCATGCCATTCCATTTCTCACCCCATACCTGCCCAAATTACACCTGTAGAAATTTGCAGCTGAACTGCCTGACCTGCAGAAATCTGCTAATCACAGAATGCATGGATTTTTTTTCTGCGATTGTGTCATTCTAAAAGTAACATCTCATTCCATATATGTGTACACATTTTAAATTTTGCAGTTAATCAACCTATTGTGTACCAAACAACTGTGAATTTAGTCAGACGCAAAGCAAGATTTCCTCCACAACCTATTTTTTGCTTATTATCTGAATAAAAAAACAATACAATCATGGCCAATTGCAATGTATTACACATTCGGATAGCAATTGATATTTTTTACTGATAATTTTTGACACAATACACTGTTCATTACTGGTACCTGAAGTTTTTCCGTTGCTGTTGGCCAAAGTTGCCTGCAAAGCACTTTTTTAACTACATCTGGAAGGAGGCTGATTGTTATTAGCAGGATAATCCCTAACCAGGCTGGCCCTGTTGAAAGCATCTGCATGAAGACATAGTACATTCTCTGGTAATTCAGAAAAGGCCTGAGAAGAAAATAAACATCATGAAGGAAAAGCAAAGGCAAAATAATATGATTCAAAGACAAAAGGATGAAATTAATCTAAAAGTATAAATTGAACCTATCCCTCAAGAACTGCAGCGATTCAAAAATGCAGCTCATCATCACAACCATCTCAAGGTTAATTCAGAACGGAGGGGCAATAAATGTTGGCCCAGCCCAACAACATCCACATCCCATAAACACATAAAAGAGAAGCCTAACGCGAGACGGGAAAAAGTCAGCCAATCTGATTGATAAACCCGTGTGGGCAATCTCTCAGTTTGCATGGGGTTGGGGTCTGCAGCAATTTGTACAAGACCATGGGACTGGTCGCACAGCAGGGGGATGGCTGCTGATTGCTTACCTTCTGCCCTGACTTCAGATCTCCTCACACCTCTCTGAACCCAAACTCCAGAGATCTCCCACCCTGTTCACCCCAAAAAAACACTTTTCCTAGTGGAACTCCATTCTGGGAGTACATGGAGGGGGCTGAGGTTAAAGAGCTGCCAGCCTGTGATTGGCCAACAGAACTTTCTGACCCCCAACAGAAAGTTCACCAGCAACCAATCAGCTGCCTGGTTGCCGCAAGATCCAGCTCCCTTCCTCACGTTGGTAGCTAACGGTTTCCGTCCTGGAAATTCTCCTTCTCTCAGACTTAGTCCAAAAATGGAAATCCTGTCATGTTGTTATCTCACATCTCGGGATGAAATGAAGTTATATGAAACAAATATCTTTCGTTATTTTTTAAAGTGAACCTATTCTCTATTCTTCTGAAAACATTCATTATATTGAGGGGAACATTCATTCAAAGGTTTTGTTTCACTTTCAGCCTGTATTTACACACACTTACCAGATAATACCTCCCCACAGGAAAGAAAAGATGATGTAAAAGAGCAGCGAGCCCCATATTACAAAGTGGTTTACCCACGTCCAATGATGAGTGTCTAGTGCAAGCTGTGAAAACAGAAACATCACACACTTATAACCAGCCAACCACCAGGACAGAACTTGAGACACAAAACACTAGGGTAGTTAAGGAGAGGAACAGAGACAGATTTCTGTATTCAGCCTATATTCCTTTATCAGAAAGCATTTAGCTAATTAAGTTCAGGAAATACTAAATTTTAATGAGGTTTTCATTTCACGTCTTCACTCAGTAAGTAGTTGACTGAAGTAGAAACCTGTTGGAATACAAAACATGATGGGAAATTTGTGACAATTAACTGAGTAGAAGCTAAACAAATCCACTTGGGACAGGCTTGTGGAAAGTTTAGAAATTTCTTTTTAGAAACAGACCTGCCATTACACAACAGGATAGGTTGCAATAACAGGAATGTATAAAGGAAATTAACGTAGGCGCAATTTAAAAGTTAGCAGATGGCACAAAGTCAGCAATGTGATAAACAATTTGGTTAATAAAAGGCTTCAAGGCCACATAGACCAGCTGATAAAATCTCAGACGCATATGGCATGCAAATTTTAATGCAGAGAACTGTGACCTGAAATACATTTTTGTGGCAAGGAAGACGAGAGGCAATATAAATTAAATGATCCCATTTGAAAGGCTGAGACCTTTAAGCATTTATACACAAATCTTTGAAGGAAGTGGGGTACCCAGACAGGATTGTTAAGAAAGCCATGTAGGATCCTCTGCTTTCTACAAATAGAAGGAATTGTGCTAAACTTTGGCAATCGGCTGATCATAGCTCATCTGGAACACTGTGCAGTCAATTTTCGGCACTACACTACACTAGAAAATTTGGCAAAGCCTTGGAGAGGAAGAGGGCACATGAGTTCAGTTCCCTTGGAAGGTGCAAAACTTCAACCAGACACAGCAGCTTTTCTGGTGACCAGTGCCACATTCTCCACTCAACCCTTACTGATTGTCCAATTCTCTGCCAACACTCACCCACTACCCCAGGTTCTCCCATCCTCTACCCAGGGCCCCATTCTCCCCCTGCCTCTCATCCAATGCTTCTTCCCAGAGCCTCTATTCACCATCCCAACCTCTAAAAACTGGTCAGAAATCCTTGGATCTCTTGAAAGCAAGGAATGCGGAGGTGTTTGTCGCTTGTCCTGCAATCATTACAGCATGGATTGGAATTGTGGAGTTTCTTTTGGATAATGCCTCTCTCAGTGAATTTCTTGCTGTATTTGCTGATCTCTCTGCCAACAAAAAGAACTCTTGTTGTGTCTCTGGTTCCATTTCTCCCTGCATATCTTTGTGTTTCTCTACTTTGACCTGTTTGTTCCAGTGATCATGTCAGTGCTCTTCCTCAGTGGGGTCCGATCCTCGGGCTTTACTGGAATTGTTACACTGTTCAGACAGTCTTTTTTTAATATGACGTGACTACTTGCAAGCTCCAAGTGGAAGAGGAGGAGATCTGGGGTTTGACAACATAAAGGAGCAGATTTGCTGTGTGCAATTTTTACTCAAGACAGTGCTGAGGGCACATTTGCTCATTGATGGAAAGGTACTGAACTGGTGAGGCAAAATATCCCAGCTCTACAAATGGAGGAAAAGAGAACAGCAAGGGAACAAATTGAGAGGTTCAGTTGGTGTCTACTCTGTATATTTATACTTCTCCCAAGCTCTTTGTGCACAGCACAATTCCTG